AGGGTAAAGGATGGCTGCCCAAAGTCAACTCGGTAAGAATGGCTTGGCCCGAGACTTTATTGCACTTTGGATTAGAAACGCTCTAGAGCGTGAGAGACGGCCAGAAGCAGAACAACACATCTACACACGACAATACATTTACTACAAGGGTACTATCAGGACAGCACGTTGACTGCAGAGATCCTATGACCCTGGAGTAAGGAACGAGAACTGGATCGATAAGACTACGATGGGGCGGGCGACACTTGGTCTACTGGCCGCCCGATAGCTTTCTTCCAGCTTCCCACTTTTTTAAAAAATAACAAATCATTGTGAAATGGACCTATGCCTGGTTTTAGAGCAGAATGGTGCTTGTGAAGGCATAGCCCTGATTTTAGAACAAGGCCTGTGGGCTGAACGAGCCTTTAAAAGGAAATGGGAACTTTTCCTTTTGCAGCTGCACTGCTTGGCTTCTGTTACAGGGCAGCGGCCAATTTAGCAGGCGGCCTCACCCTTGATACGGTTGGGGGGGGCTGCAACTGCTGCCCACCTTGGGACCGTCAATGCATTACGACAGGGATAGGACTACAAGGACGCTGTTTTTGATTCAAAGAGATGATCATTCTGTTCGATCGCAGAACTTTAAGTGATGGCTACGAAGGGAACAGCGGAAGGGAGGACTGGAGAGAACACAGACTCCATAATCAGCGAGAGGCCTGAGAGCATATTAAACAAGCCAGAAATAAGCGTTACTACACAAATGGCTTAGAAGCGGTGTTGGGACAATAGAGTCTTTGAGTGGCTCATAGAGGATAGTGCGATCTAGGTAGGAGCACTCTTAAGACGCTCTAGAACAGTGGTCCCCAACCTTGGGCCTCCAGATGTGCTTGGACTTCAACTCCCAGAAATCCTGGCCATCAGAGTTGGTGATGAAAGCTTCTGGGAGTTGTAGTCCAAGAACATCTGGAGGCCCTAGGTTGGGGACCACTCCTCTAGAACATTGGCTCCCCACCTTGGGTCCCCAGAAGTTCTTGGACTGCAACTCCCAGAAGCCTCCAACATCTGTCATGGCTGGCCAGGGTTTCTGGTTGTCGTCCAAGAACATCTGGAAACATCTGGAAAACCAAGGTTGGGAAGCACTGAACAAGAGAACGATGTGAACAGAGCTACTAATTCAGCTTTGCTATCACAAACATGACACGTCTAACCAGGATCGTGAGCACTTTGCGACTTTGCCAAGGTTCAAATCCCAAAATGCTCACTGTCTCGAGGAGGGCTCCTTAAATGGGCTATATTTGAGACAAGGAGAACGTCAGAGGTGAGGCACTACAGCCAAAGAAAGCACTCCTCTCCTACCACTCTCCTGCTCTGTAATATTTGAACCACTGCTCAGTGACTAGTCATGTGTGTGTGTGTGTGTGTGAGAGAGATTTTTTTAGTGTCTTGAGAAGGGCTATGGAAAGCATTATATATATATACCGTATATAAAAGAATGCTTTCCATAGCCCTCCTTGAGACACCAAAAAATCTCCTGCACGCAAGCACTAATAACAAAATGTTTCTTGCAGCCAAGGATGACAGAGATGCCACAGGGAGACGTCAACAGGACAGCACAACTAACTGCACAATGACATTCACACTCGAGAGGCTGATCCTTCTGCACAACGGTGACACAGAAAAGATGGGACTGAGGGGACATTTCGGGAGCTGGCCTGCTTGCGACATGAGGTGTGTGGGAGGAGTTGCAGAAGGAAGGGGGCCACACCTGGACCTGTTGGGAACCATCCGAGCCGGACCCCGAAAGGCTTCCTGGGGGGTGGGGGTGGAGACTGGGAACCTCAGGATGTTGGCGGTCGCCAAGGGATGGAAGCCCAGCAGGGTTACGTCCTGGCGGTCTTTAGTGTGTAAAGGGATGTTTGGGGTGCGTGTGTGTGGCAAAACTGACAAGAGCTCAGGTCTAGAGACCCATAAGCAGTCAGTGTGCTTAGCCCAGGGAAGGGGCTGATGTGTGGCCCTGGGGAAGTTTTGGTGGCTGAAGGACATGCGTCAAATTGATTTGAGAACACCTTCCCAGGTTCCCCCCACCCCTTCCCTAAGACTGATCAGAACCCCCTTCAAACAGCCAGCCAATGTGTTTGTGTGTGAGAGAGA